ATATGGCCGAACACTTTGGCCTGTCGACGCTCCTTCGCCCAAGACGCTTGGAAGGAAGGAGTGGCTCAAACGGGTTCCAAGCTGCACCAGGAACAAGAACCCAAAGGTGGTTCTAGGTTGGTCTTGACTGGAGAACCCAGATCGGAAGTCAAGGCTCCAAGATTTTACATTTTTTTTCCAACCCGGGTTCCAAGCTTCACCAGGAACAAGAACCCAAATGCAGTTCTAGGTTGTTCTCGACTGGAGAACCCAGGTCGGCAGTCAAGGCTCCAAGATTTTGCATTTTTTGCAACCTGGGTTCCAAGCTGCACCAGGAACAATAACCCAAAAGTGGTTCTAGGTTGGTCTTGACTGGAGAACCCGGATTGGAAGTCAAGGCTCCAAGATTTCGCATTTTTTTGCAACCCGGGTTCCAAGCTGCACCAGGAACAAGAACCCAAATGCAGTTCTAGGTTGTTCTCGACTGGAGAACCCGGATCTGAAGTCAAGTCTCCAAGATTCTGCAATTTTTTGCAACCCAAAAAGGTGGAATGAGATGAATCCTGTTTTCAGTGTCCGAAAGGGGGGTCCAATCCAGGTCCTGCCTGTCGATTATCATACAGTTGGAAGGAAGATACAATTCGATCCCTCCCGACAGATGTCCATCCAGCTTCGGCTTCAAATCTTCCACGGAAGGAGACAAATAAAAAGATAGAATCCTAGAGTGGGATCTCCAGGGCCCATCTAGTCCAACCTCCTTCCTGCTGCGGAGGATGACACCATTCAATCCCTCCCAACAGATGGCCATCCAGTTTAAATGCTTTAACATATAGATGGAATCCTAGAGTTGGAAGGGGACCCCAAGGGGCATCTAGTCCAACCTTCTTCTGCCATAATACATAGGATCTTAGAGTTGGAAGGGGACCCCAAGGGGCATCTACTCCAACCTTCTTCTGCCATAATAGATGGAATCCTAGAGTTGGAAGGGGACCACAAAGGACATCTAGTCCAACCTTCTTCTGCCATAATAGAGAGGATCCCAGAGTTGGAAGGGTACCCCAAGGGGCATCTAGTCCAACCTTCTTCTGCCATATTAGATAGGATCTTAGAGTTTGAAGGAGATCCCAAAGGGCATCTAGTCCAACCTTCTTCTGCCATATTAGATAGGATCCTAGAGTTGGAAAGGGACCCCCAAGGGGCATCTAGTCCAACCTTCTTCTGCCATAATAGATAGGATCCTAGAGTTGGAAGGGTCCAACCTTCTTCTGCCATATTAGATAGGATCCTAGAGTTGGAAAGGGACCCCAAGGGGCATCTAGTCCAACCCTCTTCTGCCATAATAGATAGGATCCTAGAGTTGGAAGGGTCCAACCTTCTTCTGCCATATTACATAGGATCCTAGAGTTGGAAAGGGACCCCAAGGGGCATCTAGTCCAACCTTCTTCTGCCATAATAGACAGAGAAGATCCCAAAGTTGGAGGGGGACCTCAAAGGACATCTACTCCAACCTTCTTCTGTCATAATAGATGGAATCCTAGAGTTGGAAGAGGACCCCAAAGGGCATCTAGTCCAACCTTCTTCTCCCAAGGAGAGAGACTACCCAATCCCTCCTGACAGATGTCCATCCTGCCTCTGTTTGAAACCCTCCAAAGAAGAGAGAGAGGGAGAGAGATCGAATCCTAAAGGGTCCTCTAAAGGCCATCCAGTCCAACCCCCTTTTCCACCAGGCCGGAAGAGCACAAGCCAAGCCTTCCCGACAGATGGCCGCACTTGAGTGTCCAATAAATTATCTGCACCGTACACAAATCCAAAGGAGCTGCAGCTTTGGACGTCGCACCTCACGGAGGTCGAGTGTCCGACAAGAAGTCCGTCTCCGGCCTGAGTTGCCGGACTTTGGCTTCGGAGGGACGGGTCCGTTCCTCCCTCGACTTAAGGGTCAGTCTTTGGCCAAAGGGCCAGTCCCATTCAAGGACCCAAAGGCGGAATCAGCATCACGAGCAGGAGGATCCCCAGGAACGGGAAGGCGCCGCAAGGCCGTGAAGCCGTGTTGTGACCCACGCTGCGCAACATCGGGGCATCCGGGTCATCTGCGGAGAAAAGAGAAAGGGTCGTTTGTACATCAAGAGGGGCAGAAATATTGGGAAGCCAAAGGGACCCCCTAAAAGGCATCCAGTCCAGCCCCCTTCTGCCAGGCACAAGCAAAGCCCTCCCAACAGATGGCCACCCAGCCTCATAACATTTCCCTATAATGCCAACCCAATGGGACCCCCTTCAGACCCACCTGACTGGAGCCTCCCCTTTGGGGTCGGGTCATTGGGACCGGGCAGTGTCCGAGCTGGAAGGGAAGACAGACAAGGACACCATTATTATTATTATTATTATTATTATTATTATTATTATTATTATTTCATAGTTATATTATTATATTATAATTATATATATATATATATACACACACACAATCGTAATATAATAACAACATTATATATATATATATATATATACATACCTATATATAGTTATTATATTATGATTGTGTGTGTGTGTATTTTATCATATATATTATATTATTGCCCTATATAATTACATTATATTATAATTATATTATGGTTGTTGTACTATATTATTATTATAATTATATTATATTATATATATTATTATACATTATATATTGTTATTGTTATTATATTATGGTTGTTATACTATATTATTATTATATATTATAGTTATATTATAGTTGTTAAACTATTATAGTAAACATTTTATATTATATTTTATTATGTATTATTATATTGTATTACATTATTATATTATATTATATTAATTATATTATTATATTATATTATACTATATTATTATTATATTATATATATTTATTTATTATATTGTACTTTATTATTATTAATATAACTAAAGATTGTTTTTCTTTATTATTATCAAAAACAATATGTATTAATATTAAATATTATTTTATTAGTAATGTATTATTATTCATAATATAACTAAATATTGTTTTACTTAATTTGTTATTATTAATAATATTAATTTTATTACATATTTTACTTATTTTATTAATGTATTATTATTATTAGTAATATAACTAAATATTGTATTTTATTATTGTTGTTGACTGTGGGTGTGATAAAACAAACAACAACTATATTATCTTATATTATTATAATATTATTATATTATATTGTTGTATATTATAATATTATAATATTATATTATTGTATATTATATTATTATTATATTATTATATTATATATTATTATATAATATTATAAATATTATAATATATTATTATTATACTATTATATTTTATTATTGTATATTATTATAATATATTATATTATATATTATTATTATAATATTATTATTATAGTATATATTATATTATAGTATTGTATATTAGAGTGAGGCAAGAAGAAGCTTATATCATTATACTATATTATTATTTCATTATATAATATTATACTATATTTTATTATATATTTTCATAATATTATTACAATATTATATTATACTTATTATATTATAAATATGATATTGTGATATTATATATATTATATTGTTATTTTTGTATAATTTAGTTATATCTACTTATATATATTGTATTATTATCCTATATTATTATTATTAGTATGTCCTTTGGCTCCAGCCAAGCCTTTCCAATGCTATGGAGCCATGCAACCAGTCCCAAGCCACACTTTCCCAGTCCCTCCCAGTTTAATATGCATGCATGCTTCCCTCGCCCAGAACACACCCATAACATTCCACTCATTTGCTATTTAAATTAAGGGGTTTTAAATTACATTTTACGGCTCACGCCTTGCTCTTAGCCCTGTATCGTATGCAGATGTATTAATATATACATATTTAGTATGTATGGATTAATGCACGCAGGTGAAAGCAGGTTCAAACTGGTAATGAGCTGCATCTGGATTCACTTTCCAACTTATAGAATCCTAGAGTTGGGAGGGATCTCCAAGGGTCATCCAGTCCAACCCTCTCTCTGCCATAAGGGAAGACACAATTCAATCCTTCCCAACAGATGGCCATCCAGCTTGAGTACTCACCGTCCTTCCCGGCCACCGTCACCCGCAGCTTGAGGCAGTCGTCTCCATGCCGGTGGATTGGTTTTGCTGGAAAAGGAAAATAAAGTCCTTAGACCTTGGAGAGAATCCCATTGGATTAAATGGGACTGCTATTAATTAAAAATAAAATAAATAATAATAATAAAAATAAATTAAATGATAATAACATAATAATAGTCCCTGTTGTTATTATTATTATTATTACAGAAGCCATCTGTCGGGGGGGATTAGATTGTGCTCTTTCCTGCCTGGCAGAAGAGGACTGGACTGGATGTCCTTTGGGGGTCCCTTCCAACTCTAGGATGCTGATCTATCTATCTCTGATGACAGAAGGGTTGGACTAGATGGACTTCTTTGGGATCCCATCCAACTCTAGGATTCCATCTGTCTACATACCTACCTACCTACATACATACCTATGCATCTACCTACCTACCTATATACATATCTATCCATATATCTATCCATCCATCTACCCATCCATCCATTATGGCAGAACGGGTTGGATTAGATGGCCTTCTTAGGGATTCCTTCCAAAACTAGGATTACATGTATTTACCTACCTACCTACCTACCTACCTACCTACCTATCCATCCATCCATCCATCCACCAATCTACCCATCCATCCATCTATTATGGCAGAAGGAGGTTGGATTGGATGGCCTTCTGAGGGATTCCTTCCAAAGCTAGGATTCCATCTATTTACCTACCTACCTACGCATCTATCTATCTATCTATCTATCTATCTATCTATCTATCTATCTATCCATCTATTATGGCGGAAGAGGTTGGACTAGATGGCCTTCTTTGGGATCCCTTCCAACTCTAGGATTCCATCTGTCTACATACCTACCTACCTACATACATACCTATGCATCTACCTACCTACCTATATACATATCTATCCATATATCTATCCATCCATCTACCCATCCATCCATTATGGCAGAACGGGTTGGATTAGATGGCCTTCTTAGGGATTCCTTCCAAAACTAGGATTACATGTATTTACCTACCTACCTACCTACCTACCTACCTACCTACCTACCTACCTATCCATCCATCCATCCATCCATCCTCCAATCTACCCATCCATCCATCTATTATGGCAGAAGGAGGTTGGATTGGATGGCCTTCTGAGGGATTCCTTCCAAAGCTAGGATTCCATCTATTTACCTACCTACCTACGCATCTATCTATCTATCTATCTATCTATCCATCTATTATGGCGGAAGAGGTTGGACTAGATGGCCTTCTTTGGGATCCCTTCCAACTCTAGGATTCCATCTGTCTACATACCTACCTACCTACATACATACCTATGCATCTACCTACCTACCTATATACATATCTATCCATATATCTATCCATCCATCTACCCATCCATCCATTATGGCAGAACGGGTTGGATTAGATGGCCTTCTTAGGGATTCCTTCCAAAACTAGGATTACATGTATTTACCTACCTACCTACCTACCTACCTACCTACCTATCCATCCATCCATCCACCAATCTACTCATCCATCCATCTATTATGGCAGAAGGAGGTTGGATTGGATGGCCTTCTGAGGGATTCCTTCCAAAGCTAGGATTCCATCTATTTACCTACCTACCTACGCATCTATCTGTCTGTCTGTCTGTCTGTCTGTCTGTCTGTCTGTCTGTCTGTCTYTCTYTCTYTCTYTCTATCTATCTATCTATCRATCCATCCATCCATCCATTATGGCGGAAGAGGTTGGACTAGATGGCCTTCTTTGGGATCCCTTCCAACTCTAGGATTCCATCTGTCTACATACCTACCTACCTATACTTCCATCCATCTATCCATCCATCCATCTATTATGGCAGAAGGAGGTTGGATTGGATGGCCTTCTTAAGACATTCCTTCCAAAGCTAGGATTCCATGTATTTACCTATCTACATATCTATGTAAATATCTAGGATTCCATCTATTTACCTACCTATGCATCTATATCTATCTATCTATCCATCCATCCATTATGGTAGAAGGGGGTTGGACTAGATGGACTTCTTTGGGATCGCTTCCAACTCTAGGATTCCATGTATTTACCTACCTACCTATGTATCTATCTACCTACCTACGTTTCTATGTAAATATCTATCTATCCATCTATTATGGCAGAAGGAGGTTGGATTGGATGGCCTTCTTAGAGCTTCCTTCCAAAGTTAGGATTACATCTATTTCCCTACCTACGCATCTATCTATCTATCTATCTATCTATCTATCTATCTATCTATCTATCTATCTATCTATCTCCTTACCCATCCCATCCATCCATTATAGTAGAAGGGGGTTGGACTAGATGGCCTTCTTTGGGATCCCTTCCAACTCTAGGATTACATCTATTGACTTACGTATGCATCTACCTACCTATCTACCTACCTATGCATCTATCTATCCATCCATCCATTATGGTAAAAGGGAGTTGGACTAGATGGCCTTCTTTGGGACCCCTTCCAACTCTAGGATTCCATGTATTTATCTACCTACCTACGTATCTCTGTCTGTCTGTCTACCTACCCATCCATCCATTATGGCAGAAGGGGTTGGACTAGATGACCTTCTTTGGGACCCCTTCCAACTCTAGGATTCTATATATTTACCTACCTACCTACCTACCTACCTAAGTGTCTGTCTGTCTACCTACCTACCTACCCATCCATCCATCCATTATGGCAGAAGGGGTTGGACTAGATGGCCTTATTTGGGACCCCTTCCAACTCTAGGATTCCATGTATTTACCTGCCTGCCTGCCTGTCTATCTACCTGCCTGTCTATCTACCTACCCATCCATCCATTATGGCAGAAGGGGTTGGACTAGATGGCCTTCTTTAGGGCCCCTTCCTACTCTAGGATTCTATCTGTCTGTCTACCTACCTACGCAACTATCTAACTATCTATGCATCTGTCTGTCTGTCTATCTATCTATCTATTACAGCAAAAGGGGGTTGGACTGGATGGCCTTCTTTGGGGCCACTTCCAAGTAGTATTCTATCTATCTATCGATCTATTATGGCAGAAGGGGGGTGGACCGGATAGACTTTGGGGGACCCCCTGCAACTCTGATTCTCGGGTGGGCGGATGTTTGGGGGACTCACAGATGTAGTAGTAGTCGTGTCCCGGTCGGAACTCCTTCCCGAGGGTGAAGGGTGTGAAGCGCTGGAACTTCTCGGAGAAGCGCTCGGGGCCGTGGGCGGCGTCCGGCCGGTTGCACTCCCAGCGCACCTGCTCCTTGGACCGGGGCCGGCAGGACAGGAACTCCTCCCGCTCCACCAGGAAGAGCGTGTAGCGCTCCATCGACCCCGGCGGGACCCCCGAGGCCCCCGCCTCGTAGTGCGGGCACAGGATGTCCAGGTAGTCGTTCAGGCGCACCTCCACCGTGTAGCCTCCTCGCTGGAACCTGCGCAGGGGAGGAAAGAGACACTTAGAATCCTAGGGTTGGAAGGGGTCCCAAATAAGGCCAGCTAGTCCAACCCCCTTCTGCCATAATAGGGAGCTAGACAGACAGACAGGCAGATAGATGCACAGATAGACGGAGGGATGGGTAGATGGATGGAGGGCTAGATGGATGGGTGGATGGATGGGTGAATGGATGGATAGATGGGTGGGTTGGTTAGATGGATGGGTGGGTGAATGGATGGGTAGATGGATGGATGGGTGGTTAGATGAATAGATGGGTGGTGGGTGGTTGGACGGAGGGGTAGATGGATGGGTAGATGGATGGATGGGTGGGTGGATAGATGGATGGATGGGTGGGTAAATGGATGGATAGATGGATGGATGGGTGGGTGAATGGATGGATAGATGGATGGATGGATGGGTGGGTGGGTGAATGGATGGATGGATAGATGGGTGGGTGGATAGATGGATGGGTGGGTGGGTGAATGGATGGATAGATGGATGGATGGGTGGGTGAATGGATGGATAGATGGATGGATGGATGGGTGGGTGGGTGAATGGATGGATAGATGGATGGATGGGTGGGTGAATGGATGGATAGATGGATGGATGGATGGGTGGGTGGGTGAATGGATGGATAGATGGATGGATGGGTGGGTGAATGGATGGATAGATGGATGGATGGATGGGTGGGTGGGTGAATGGATGGATGGATAGATGGGTGGGTGGATAGATGGATGGGTGGGTGGGTGAATGGATGGATAGATGGATGGATGGGTGGGTGAATGGATGGATAGATGGATGGATGGATGGATGGGTGGGTGGGTGAATGGATGGATGGATAGATGGGTGGGTGGATAGATGGATGGGTGGGTGGGTGAATGGATGGATAGATGGATGGATGGGTGGGTGAATGGATGGATAGATGGATGGATGGATGGGTGGGTGGGTGATGGATGTATGATGGGTGGATGGGTGGGTGAATGGATGGATGGATGGATGGATGGGTGGGTGAATGGATGGGTGGGTGGATGGATAGGTGGGTGGATGGATAGATGGGTGGGTGGATAGATGGATGGGTGGGTGGGTGAATGGATGGATAGATGGATGGATGGGTGGGTGAATGGATGGATAGATGGATGGATGGATGGGTGGGTGGGTGAATGGATGGATAGATGGATGGATGGGTGGGTGAATGGATGGATGGGTGGATGGATGGATGGATGGGTGGGTGGGTGAATGGATGGATGGATAGATGGGTGGGTGGATAGATGGATGGGTGGGTGGGTGAATGGATGGATAGATGATGGATGGGTGGGTGAATGGATGGATAGATGGATGGATGGGTGGGTGGGTGAATGGATGGATAGATGGATGGATGGATGGGTGGGTGGGTGAATGGATGGATGGATAGATGGGTGGGTGGATAGATGGATGGGTGGGTGGGTGAATGGATGGATAGATGGATGGATAGAGTGGGGGGTTTCTGGATGGATGCTTGGATAGATGGATGGGTGGGTGGTGGTGGGTTGATGGTTAGATGAATAGATGGATGGGTGGGTGGGTGGGTGGATGGTGGGTGGTTGGATGGAGGGGTAGATAGATAGATGGATGGATGGATGGGTAGATGGATGGGTGGGTGGGTGGATAGATGGAAGGAAGGCTGGATGGATGGAAGGATGGATGGAAGGCTGGCAGGCTGGAAGGATGGATGGAAGGCTGGAAGGGTGGAAGGCTGGATGGGTGGATGGATGGAAGGAAGGAAGGATGGGTGGATGGAAAGCTGGATGGGTAGATGTGTAGATGAATAGATAGGCAGATGGTTGGATGGATAGGTAGATGGATAGACGGATGGATGGATAGATAGGTAGATGGATAGACGGACAGATGGATGGATAGATAGATAGACAGACAGATGGATAGATGGATGGAATCCTAGAGTAGGAAGGGACCCCAAAGAAAGCCATGTGGCCCAATACGTCGATAGGTAGGTAACAAATATAGACCCCCAAGAGCCAACCAATCCTACCCTCTTCTGCCCTGAAGGAAGGCACACTCCAATCCTTCCTGACAAATAGCCTTCCTGACTATCCAACCCTAGATAGATATATATTAATAGATATATCATAGAATCCTAGATTTGGAAGCGACCCCCAAGAGGGCCACCCAACCCTCCTTCTACTACATAGGGAGACACCATCCGATCCCTCCTGACAGATGGCCACGCAAACACTCCTTTCCTCCATTGCAAGCCTCTTCTCTTCTCAGCCCCATTCAAGATGGAGCCAAGGCAGCTGGGAATGGGCTCCTCCCTGAGGTTTGGGAGGAAGGAGGAGAAGAATGGCACAAACCGGTTTGGCCACCAATGGAAGGGAGGGAGGGAGGAGGCCAGAAGAAACCCTCTCTATCACCCCCACCATCATCAGCATCACTGCAGGTGTCTTTTTTGCCCACCTTTTGCCCCCAAGACGCCCACCTGAGTGACCCTCACCAAAGGTCACCTGGCCTCGGGCAAAAAAGGCCACCCAGTTGGGCAGAAAGGCCACCAAAGCTGCAGGGAGGGCTTGGGAAGATCAGGGACCGGTCAAGCCACCAAAGGCCTTTCCTTCAAGTAGGCAGCCGGATCCTGCCCTCCTCCTCCTCCTCCTCCTCCTCCTCCTCCTCCTCCCTCCTCCTCCTCCTCCTCCTCCTCCTCCTCCAAAAAGAAGGCATTCCTGTTTGGCTTGCAATGGAAAGAGATGCCGCCAAAGAGGACGGGCCTCGCCCTGGGAAAAGCCACCACTACGCAGCACCTGGCTGGCATTCCCCAGGGCACGCGAACTACAACTCCCATCATTCAAATGCAAAGAGAAGATAGAATCCTAACGTTGGAAATAGATAGTTGGATGGATAGAATCCTGAAGTTGGAACTAGATAGACAGGGGAAAGGATAGATAGATTGATTGATAGATGGAAGGAAGGAAGGATAGATAGAATTGTAAAGTTGGAAACAAATGGATGGATGGGAAGGAAGGAAGGATTGATGGATAGATAGATAGAATCCTAGAGTTGGAAGGAGATAAGCTAGATACATAGATGGATGGATGGAAGGATGGATAGACAGATAGAATTCTGAAGTTGGAACTGGATGGATGCATGGCTGGATGGATGGCTAGATGGCTAGATGGCTGGATGGATGGATGGAAGGACGGATGGATAGAAGGAAGGAAGGAAGGAAGGAAGGAAGGAAGGAAGGAAGGAAGAATGGATGGAAGGATGGCTAGATGGAAGGCATGGATGGATGGAAGGCTGGATGGATGGATGGAAGGCTAGACGGAAGGCTAGATGGAAGGCATGGATGGATGGATGGATGGCTAGATTGATGGATGGAAGGAAGGAAGGCTGGATAGATGGAAGGGTAGACAGAAGGCATGGATGGATGGATGGATGGATGGATGGATGGATGGATGGACGGATGGAAGGCTGGATGGAAGGCTAGATGGAAGGCATGGATGGCTGGCTGGCTGGCTGGATGGAAGGCTGGCTGGAAGGGTAGACAGAAGGCATGGATGGATGGATGGAAGGCTGGAAGGCTAGATGGAAGGCATGGATGGATGGCTGGATGGAAGGACAGAAGGCATGGATGGATGGCTGGAAGGCTAGATGGAAGGCATGGATGGATGGATGTAGATGGAAGGCATGGATGGAAGGCATGGAAGGCATGGATGGAAGGAAGGCTGGCTGGCTGGAAGGCAGGCTGGCTGGCTGGAAGGGTAGACAGAAGGCATGGATGGACGGATGGAAGGCTGGATGGAAGGTTAGATGGAAGGCATGGATGGATGGATGGATGGATGGATGGATGGCTGGCTGGCTGGATGGAAGGCTGGCTGGATGGAAGGCTAGATGGAAGGCATGGATGGATGGCTGGATGGATGGAAGGCTAGATGGAAGGCATGGATGGATGGCTGGATGGATGGAAGGCTAGATGGAAGGCATGGATGGATGGCTGGATCGATGGAAGGCATGGATGGATGGATGGATGGCTGGAAGGGTAGACAGAAGGCATGGATGGATGTATGGATGGGTGGAGGACTAGATGGAAGGCATGGCTGGATGGAAGGCTGGCTGGCTGGCTGGAAGATAGATAGATAGATAGATAGATAGATAGATAGATAGATAGATAGATAGATACAGATTTATAGAAGGAAGGATGGGTGGATAGATAGAATCCTAAAGTTGGAAATCGATAGATGGGCTGGTACATAGGTAGATAGAATCCTAGAGCTGGAAATAATCAGACAGATGGATAGATAGAACCCTAGAGTTGGAAGGGACCCCAAAGAAGGCCACCTAGTCCCACCCCCTTCTGCCAGACAGCAAAAGCACAATCAAAGCACTCCAACAGATGGCCATCCAGCCTCTTCTTCATGACACAGAATCCTTGAGTTGGAAGGGCCCCTAAAGGACATCCAGCCCAACCCCCTTTATTCTGCCAAGCATGAAGAGTACAATCTAAGCCTTCCCGACAGATGTCCATCCAGGCTCTGCTTATAGACACACACCTTTGCAATGAATGGCCACTTATAATGAAAGAACATATAACGATCCTGGGAAGCGGCCAAGGAAGGAAAACAAAGCCATCCCTTTTTTCCCCCTTGCCAACAAAAGTGCAAAACCCTCAACAACATGTTTGCAAAAGGGACTTCCTGCCCGGCATGGCCCTGGCGCCTTCCTTTGGCCACTGGCCATCGGCTGGCGGGAAGGAAGCGAGGGAAAGAGGGAGGGAGGGAGGGAAGAGGGGCCCAAGGCCGGCCAAGCAATGCCCTCCATGGGAAAGAGAGGGAGGAGCGGGTCGGGTGCGGAGCTAGGAATACTACAATGCCCAGCATCCCCAAGAGAGAGACACACACACATATAAACAAAGCCACGCTGAGTTATCCATGCCATGTCTTTACTTTTATCTCCAAGCAAAGCGATGGGAGTTGTAGTAGAAGAACTCACTGCCTCGGAGTCCAGGGGGAG